TAATTTCTCCCTCCGAGAAATCTTCCACAAATAACTTAGTTGATGTGGGTGACATACATTTAATGTAATATATATGATTAACCATTTTGGTGAAACCAGTAAAGGGGAAGAAAATTAGTAAGAATTTAGCATACAGAATTTTAAGAGACTTAGTTGTAAATGCTCATGTTACATACTTGAATGAATCTGCAAAAACTTCATTTTTAGGAAAGCTCAAATTTAGGAACTACTTGCTTATAGTTTTTAAAATCTTATTTTTTCCTGTAATTCTTTTTTTAATTAATTTATTTTTAGGAAGGGGAAGGAGCCCGAGAGGGAGAGAAGCATTAATGTGCAGTTGCCTCTTGCACACCCCCCACTGGGGACCTGGCCTGCAACCCAGGCACGTGCTCTGACTGGGAATTAAGCCGGTGACCCTTTGGTTTGCAGGCTGGTGCTCAATCCACTGAGCCACACCAGCCAGGGCTGTTCTTTAATTCTTGATGAGAAACTACCTTTTAAGAGATGAAAATCTGAACATTCTTGAACACTGTCAAATGCTAAACCAAATGCTATGCATAAGGGAGAAGAGCCAGGATTCCAAAATAATGCCATGTCATGAACAATATAACAAAAATATCATCACTGATTAAAAATGACTCAGGAAAAAGTAATGGTGGTCATGGTAGTGTTAATAAGCATTTTACTCTGTGCTTGGGCATTGTGCTAACAGTTATATGCATTTTCATTTAATTTTTGCAAAAAGATCTTTCAAGTTAAGTACTATTATTTCCATTTCATAAATCGAAAAACAAAGCTGGGTATGACTTGCCTAAGATTGCTGTAAGAACTAGGGCTAGAATTTAAAATCAAACCACATGGCCCTGACTGGTGTGGCTCAGTAGATTGAGTGCCAACCAGTGAACCTGAAGGTCTCGGTTTGATTCCTGGTTAGGGCACATGCCTGGCTTGCAGGCCAGTTCCCCCACTGGGGGCATGCAAGAGACAACCTTTTCTCTCACATTAACATTTCTCTCCTTCCCCTTCCCTCTCCCTTCCCCTCTCTCTAAAAAATAAGTCAATAAAATCTTTTAAAAAATTTAAAACAAAAAAATAAAAGCAAGCCATAAGAATACAAGATCCTCTACTTTTTAAACTATAATAATTTACTCTTCAGAAAGTCCTAGTAATAAAATGATAAGAATGCATTAATAACTTTGAAATCAACCTTGATTCTCTTAATTTTAACAATAATTTTTCCCATTAGATGTTTTTGTGTATAAACAGAAAAACAAGTCCTACTAGCCCCGCAGAGGAAATCAGATGGATGTTAAATGCAGAAGTATAATGAATTTTGTTCTTCCAGTAAAAACCCTGAAATAATACTTTAGGCACTCTACTTAAGAGTTAATGATTGCTGAAAGTAACTTTAAAGAGGTACATATTTCTTTTAATTTAGTGCATAATCAGTCCTTGATTACTTGTGGCAACAAAGGGGAGCAGCACTGGTCCAACGACTGAAAACTACGGATACTCTAACTCCCTTAAAGTAGTGACAAGGCAGAGTATCCTTGATGGGATAGACAAGGGACCACACTTATTAAAGAGACCTAGCAAGTAACCAGATTCATAGAAAGCGGTTTCCATGCAAAGAGATATAGGCAATATGCAATAAAACCAGTACCAAATTCTCAAATTGGGGTATTTGGATGAACAGTATTATTTTTAAAGTCCTAAAAAAACAACAGTTAAAAAAAAAAGCAATGACTTTATTTGTGGGAGAACAACTTTAGCGAAAATGTAATACTGACTACTCAGAACACAGAAAGAAATGGTTCTCAAACTTTAACATGCATCAGAATCAACTGGAAGGTGTACTAAAACTTCAAATTACTGGCCTCACCTCAGTGTTTTGGTTCAACATAGGAGTTTGCATTTTTAATGAGTTCTCAGGTAATGCAAATAGTTCTGGAACAGGTAGCAAACACTCTTTTGAGAACTAACTAAAACTAAAAAATTATAGTGCCAGAAAGAGGAATGTTGTCAATATTCTCAAGTACAGTTCCATTACCTAAACTTTTACAATATGTAAAACATTTCTTTGATGATTAATGCATATAAAATTAAATTGTGGTATCAAATCATCTCTCAAAAGCAAAAAACGAGTTGGATGAAAAGTCACATTGCTGTTTCATTCTGTATTTCGACCTTGTTCTGCCTTACACTGAGGATCCATTTTTTTATGAATACCATGCAAATTATTTGTAAAAACAACACTTTTTTTCTGATGAGAGGAACTCATTAGAAATCTTTGAAATCTTCAGGTATTAAAGTATAAAGAGAAAGATGGTATTCCTAGCATCTAGAAAGTGTTTACTGCAGAGGTACTGAGCCTCCAGATGAGACAGCAAGAAAAAAAAACCCTCTGTGCTTAATTCTCCTCGCTAAACTTCTCCTAGACAACCAAAAGGAACATAAATGTCATGCAGACTCTAAACCCCTACAAATAAACTAGACTTCCCCAAAGGGCTAAACCCACTACCTACCTAGCTGATCTCATTTTGAGTGCTACAGAATCAAAGGGCAGGGCTGTGGGGTGTGGTGAGTCAACATGGATTCTTAAATCAAGCTATCATATTTAGAAGAGCCAGACAGACTACGGCAGAAACTTCGCTATTCTTGATGTATGAGGTTCTAGAATACATAAGACTGCAGCATACGATTTCTATCTTAAAATACAGAGATAAAAACTTTAAGTTCAGGCCACAACTAATGTAACTAGGTAAAAACAAGTAAAAAATAAAGAACACAAGAAATGCAAAATATATGGCCAGGTTTACGTGCTAGGTAACTGTTCCCACACATCAGCCAAAACTAGAATACGTATTACTTACAAGTTAAGGACCTTTCGTGGCATTTATTAAATTGTTCAAACCCTGAAATCTTTGAATGCTTAGAATCTACTATAGTCCCTAAAGGTGAAGAGCTGTTACCGAAGAGCATAAAAGAACAGTGCTCTTTGATATATAAACATATCAAAACATGTCTTATACCTTAAACTTACAGAATGCTACATGTCAATTATATCTCAAAAAAAACCCCCCACAAAAAACCCCACCCCCCTTCAAAAACAAAAAGAACAAGAGGTTATAATGGTACTGTCATACCTCCGGGAAATATTAATATGTGGTCAACACAGTGAAACACTGTCCAATAGTCAGTAACATAGAAATTTGAATGTAATTTCTTTCTAAAGTTGATTTGGAAAAGACTGATTTGTACAGGTAGAAAATATTAAGGAAGCTTTATGCATAGGAATAAACAACAACAAAAAAAACTTTTGGAAAATTCATTAACAAAAATGCAGACAATCTAATTGGTATAATCTAATCTAACGTATACACATACACTAGAGAATAACTATATTTATGCTGTACTCATATAGGATTAAATCTTACTTTTAAACATTCTTGAGATGTCATTAGGAAAAAATATACTTAAAAGATGCTCAGAGTATCCAAGATAAAAACAAGAAACTTCTATGCTGAGGCTCCTCAGGCTCTAGCAAACTTTCCAAGGAATTAAGTTCTTTACTACAGTACTTCAGTGTTTTTATTATTTTAATATGTGTACTGTGAAACGGGGGGAAGGTAGCATATCCTAAGTTCCAAACCTATATGGTCTAGGTATTTAGCTTAGAATACATATGTACTTTGGAAAATGCTGCCACTGACAATCACTTGCCAAGAAACTAGTTAAAATAACTTTGTGCTCCAGTTAAAGGTAGGTGGACATGACCTAGCAGTCTTTAAAACTCTTCCTACTATGTGGGCCAGTTAGCTGTATTAACAAACAATGTATAATATACTGCTCATTAAATTTTTAGTAAGTGCTAGGATTTTCTGATTCCAAATAAAAGCTCCATGATATGGACTACATTTTTGATGCTCACCCATTATAAAAACATGCAACACTAAAACAATATAACACCATAACAGTTATACAAACATAAGAGGTTGACAAATACTATTATACTGCTGAGTCTACTATAGTGAGAATACTGTTTATCTAGTCTATTTCCTGTATGTAGAGAAAAGCCAGGAGGTAGTAGAGTTCTGTAATTTATCATGCTGGAAGAGTCTGAAACTGTGAATAAAATTCTCAAGAGTACTTTCCTGAGAACATGCACTAAATACACAGCATAAAATCCTGTTTCTGCAAAATGGATTCTAAGAAGCTGCTACATATACCAGTGGTATATGTCTTACATATGTCAAAATTTGACTTTATTGTGAATCTTAAAGCTGTGTGATTCTTCTGATTCTGCCCCACCACTACATATAATAGTTGTGAATTCTTTAATTAAATTCAATTTTCTAATTTCCTTTCTTCTAACTATACTGAACTGTTTGTTGTCTCCCTTTATCCTACATATTGCCTTCCCCTCACTTTGGTCGTACCACAACTGTATGCAGTGCCTATGTCACTTCTCACCCCTCTTTTTTCACCTTTCTCTTCAGGTCCCATTTCCTTTCATGTCTCTCTCCAATAATCACTCACTTTTTCTCTTTCGTCACCCTAGGAGCGTTCTTAAAGAACTTTAATAAAATTTCATTTATTTTTACAAATAGTCCAGTAATATTTAGAATTAGAACTTTAAGGTTAATTCTTTTACTATTCTAAAGCCACTAGAATTCAGCACACACCTGTATTAATTTGAAGAAGCTTCTAATTACCAAAAAATAGACAGCAGATAGTAGGACATTAAATCTACTCATGTTTATATCTGTATTTTAGCTCTCATACAACCATCTTGAGAATAACCAGAAAATCAAAATGTAGAAAGATGTTAGTAAGAATCAAGGTAAGTTTTAAAGCGTGAGGTATGTTGAACAGTTCTTTTCTTCACTGTTACCTATTTAAGTTTTCATCATCACACCTGAAACTGCAAAATCTTTTTTGCAATGTATGATTCAATTAAATGAAGAAGGGGGGGGGGGGAACAAAAAAGAAAATCTCACCCCCGATGGTACTCTCTTGAAATTCATGAAATTGGCCTTTCACAAAACGAAGCACTAGGCTTGATTTGCCAACTGCAGACTCTCCCAGAAGTACTAATTTGAACTGGCATATTTTATTTCCAGTATTTGGCCCGTTGGGTCTTGTTGCTCCTCGATTAGCCATGTCCAAATTTTAAAGAAGTCCCTAATTTCAGTCCCTTAAATGAACTTCCAGGATGCAAGGTGTCAATGTTTTCTTTCTGGAGGTAAAGAAACCTGTAAAGAAACAAATAGGAATTAAATATGCAAGTCAGTAATACAAAATAAATATATTAATCAATTCAGTAAATTTGCCTATAACATATTATTGTATGACAATTATAACTTCTACTGGGCAATGAATGATATTTAGTTTAATTCATTAAATCCTTTGTAATAAAATAACATAAAGGCATTAAGATTTGAGCCTAAAATCATGCTGTTAAGTTTCAGAACTCTAAAAAAAATTCAGGCTGAACTTTATTAAAAACTCAACTTCTGGCCCTGGCTGGTGTAGCTTTGTGGATTGAACATGGGCTGAGAACCAAAGTGTTGCCGGTTCAATTCCCAGACAAGGCACATACCTGGGTTTTGGGCCAGGTCCCCAGTAGGGGCCATGTGAGAGGCAACCATACAATGATGTTTCTCTCCCTCTCTTTCTCCTTCCCTTCCCTTCTCTCTAAAAACAAATAAATAAAACCTTAAAAACAAAACAAAACAAAACAAACAAAAAAACCCAAACCCTCAACTTTGTGCCAGGTAGTTAACATAGTCAGTCACTCAACAATCTTATAAAGTTAGATAATTACAATCCTAAAAAATGAGGAAACAGGCACAGAGAGGTTAAGTAACTTGACTGAGGTCACACAGTTACTATGACAGAGCTGTGGCAGAGTTTCAAACCCAGGTAACCTAAGAAGTGACTCAAGAGTTTCAGGTTCTGGAACCATTAGTATTTTGGTTAAAATAGTTTTAAGGAATATTAATAAATGGAAAGCTCTTAGAACATAAGAGCTCAATAAATGTTGGCTATGATTATGTAGAGATCTCTGCTAAATTATACATGTTTTTTGTTTAATTAATGGTAATTTAGGAGCAACAGTACTTTTAAATCTTAATTGTCAACTATAGTTGAAATTTAATATTATTTTAGTTTCAGGAATACAGCAGAGAGATTAGGCATGTATATAACTCATGAAGTGATCCTCTTCCTCCTAACTCTAGTCTACACAATTATTACAATATTATTGACTATATCCCCTATGTTGTACTTCACATACCTATAACCATTTTCCACCTGCCAATTTGTACTTCATTTCTTGATCAACAAACGTGTTTGGCTACCAGGTTTGTGTGTTTAATGGCTAAGAGACTTAGAACTGTTTTCTCATGTGCTCAAGTACACATACGTGGACAAGTGTTAATTGTGGTTCTCTATATGGTGAGCTTATTAGTATCTTATTTATTTACGTTTCCTGTAGTCTGGGGCCTAACAATTAAATGTCCTTATTTTCTACTTAATTTAGAAAAAACTAGCCTGAATGGCAACTTCTGTCTTCTCTTATTATCTAATAATTCTAATTTTCAATCTCATAGGAATTAACAAACATTTAAAGAGCTCTAATCTGGTCACAAATCAATCCTAAAGTTTCATCTTCTCCCACCTTTAATAAAAAATCTGACATGTCCTTACTTATACTATTAAATCTATAATTCTTTCCCTGGAATCACTGTCATATTTCATTTAGGTATCTCCTAAGAAATTTGCCTTCCCCATGAAATGAGTTTACTTAAGAATCTCTCTTGACAATGAATTCATTAATAAAAACATCCGAGAGAGACCTTACATTTGAGACAATAAAATCACCTCTGCCTTACCTAAACAGCAGCTTGCAAGTCCTTTATTAGTAACACACACTAAAATATTTACAAATGAAATATGTCTGAACTGCTTCCAAATAATGGGGATGTAAACAAAATAAGACTGGTCATAAAGAGAATCAAAGCCAGGTGATGGGTTCTCTTATACTATTCTCCTTACTTCTGGGTATTTAAAATTTTGTCCAAAATAAAAAAATGCCCCAACCCTTCCACCACCCTTAATTTATACCAGATTTGGAATCTAACCTGGCTAGCTATACCAATTTCTGCTAGAACAAGTTTTTTCATTTCCAAGTCTCTAATTCCGGAATACCTAACTTACATAGTTGATGTGACAATTAAATGAGAGAATACATGTTTTAAAAAAATCTCTAATATAGTGGCACAGAAGAGGGACTGAAAACTGGTAGAGGCCCTTTGATGAGGTAATGGCCACATATCAACAGTATATCATGCTGCCCCGGGCGGGTAGCACAGCAGGTTACAGCGCTGTCCTGATTGCCCCAAGTTTTGAGTTTCAGCCCTGGTCAGGGCACATACAAGAATCATCCCGTCCAATGAGCCCTGGCTGGTGTGGCTCAGTGGACTGAGTGCCAGCCTGTTAACCAAAGGGTCGTGGGTTCCATTCCCAGTATGGGTGCATGCATGGATTGCAGGCCAGGTGGGGGGAGGGGGGGTTCAAAATACAAGCACACACTGATGTTTCTCTCTCTCTTCCTCCCTTCCCTTCTAAAAATAAATAAAACCTTAAAAATAATATCGACCAATGAATGCATAAATAAGTGGAACAAATTCATGTTTCTCTCTCTCAAACCAGTAAATACAAATTTTAAAAAAATCATATAGACTGAAAATGTACCAACACACCTTCAGTTATTATATACAATAGCAACTGAAATACTTCCCAGTTGTCTCATTACCTTACAAAACAGCAAATTAAATTACCCATCAAGGAAAACATGTTCCATGTACTTCCAAAATATCAGGAAAAACATCACATTCCCAGTTTTAAAAAATTATGATTTAGCTTTGCCTTCTATTGGGTTGTGGTTTCCGAGAGGCTTTCAAACAGAAGATAACTAAGTTTAATTATATACAGTTAGCGTAACATTAAGGTGAAATATTATGTGCACTTTTATTAACTACAGAAACTCTGGCAAAACAAAGATTTTGCATAAAATGCATTTTAATGTTTTGAAAATAACTGCTATTCTACAGTTAATAAAAACTGCTTTAAAACAGCAGCTAATATAATATTCATTGGTTCTTATATTGTGCCAAGCACTATTCTATGACTTTTGCTTACGGCAGTTCTGAACTGTAATAGGGGCAGTATTATTGCCCCAATATTGCCCCTGGCTTAAATTAAAGTTTTGGAGAGTCCCTTATTATCGCAGCGTTGTGCACGTTTCTTTCCCTACTAGTTTTGTGAAAGGCAACTGATTAAACATTTTGATTCCATTAAACAAGACAAAAACCAAATATGTGAATTACGACGTTCAGAGCTTCAAGTCCGAGTCTCGGACGTAACCGGCTTCCAGGAGAACAGCAGAGCAGGTTTAATGGTCTCTACCCAATGAGCGTGTTCGGCGGCCTAGCTGTCTCGAGTTCTGTAAAGCTAAGGTTCACCACCCTCCTTAGATGAGACAAGAATCTCCAAACAGGCTACGAGCCTTCTCCTCCCTCCATTACCCGGTCTTTGGAAGTCTAGGGTAGGCGGAGCTCCCCAAACTCACACCTGCTGTAGGCCCCAGTTCTTTCTCGGAGAGTACCTGGTACCAACTCCGACCACCGGAACAAGCCGGGCCCGCCAGGCCCCTGGGCCATCTTTCTGGCCCTTTTCCCTCGAATCGGGCCTGGCTCTGGCCTGGACCTACCTCCCCCTAAGACTGCCAGGACAGGGGGCCGGCGAAACCGCGGCCTCCAGTTCGCTTTCACGGCGCCATCTTGAGAAGGGAAGACAGTGACACTCGTCGCTCCCTCTCCCAGCCCCCAAATCCTAGTCCCCCATAGCCTCTTGAAGGGTAAGCCACCGGGGCGGGCAGGATGAGACGCCAGGTTCAACAACTCTCTGGTCCAAGGCACTGGCGCGCAAGAGGTAGAAGGGGTACGGGACTGAGTGCCGCAGGGCCACCGACAGACTGGGGACAGCGGATAACCAGGGGTCTCAGCACAGCATAGGGAGAAATGGTGTGATTACCTTAGACCGCAGCACGCAGAGCCGCAGGGCTGAAGCTTCCGGGCAGCAGGTCCCAGACCAAGTCCGAGAACAGGCTGTGGCTTTGGCGGCGGGGCGTCTCCTCCTCGCGCCGCTCCCCTTAGACTGGACGGTGCGGGGCTTGTTCCGTGGTGCCGCCCCCGTCGGGCTGGGTCTCCGCCTCTCTCCGCTCCGCCTTCCTCTTTTCTTTCTCCTCCTCTGCCGCCGCCGCCGCCGGCGCTAGAGCTTCCACTAATTCTTCCTCCGCCTCCTCCACTGCCTCCTCCCCTCAGGCCAGCCGCGGGATCCTTCGCGAACCAAAACACAAACACTCCAGTCCCTGCAAGGGAGCCACTTCCGCCGCCCCGAGCCGGCCTCGCCGCCACGTCGCGGCACGTAGCGAAGTGCGCCCATTCGTCACTTCCCGCCGCCGCCAGTCGGACCGATTCCCCAGGTCTTCCGCGCCTCTCAAAGCCCTCCCCGCGGGAGCTGGTCGAGGGGCGGGGCTAGGTGTGTCACGTGGTCCCGCAATACCACCGCCTTCCTCCCCACCGGCGCTCGCGCCCCGCCCTCGCTGGCGCCATTGTTATCTGGGCGGCGGTCTAGGACTCTCGGGGCTGGGTAAACTCCATTGCGTCGCTGCTCTCGGGAGAGCAGGAACGAACTTGCGTTTGTAGCTCCTACCTATGTGAGGCGGTGAATATTAACTCACAGTCCCTCTCAGCCTACCCCGCAACACCCCAACCCTGGCAACCCGTCTACGGACTCCAGGAGAGAACCCCTGAATACGTCCCTGGGGATGGGTGGGCCGGTAAAGGCAGTTAAGTGGTACTTTTGTCAGTCTAGACAGCAGTCTTCGGTCATGGTTGGGGAATTAATGGATGAGGCGCACCTGTTTTACAGGTAAAGAATTTGAGGCACAGAGATTGTGTAATTTGCCCAAAATCAACACGGAGTTGGTGATGAAATTCTTAACATGCAAGCTGGCCAAAGAACCTGAGTTCTGAAGCACAGTTTTTGGTTAGTGAAAAACAACTGAAAACATTACCCTCCACTGCAGATCTAGGTAAGACAGGTTCCTTTGGTTAAATCTCACAATAGGCAGTATCTGTTAAGGGATCTGAAGCAAAGCTAAACAAAACAAAATGTTGTGTCATTTGGTAGACAGTTTAATTGATTTTTCACTCAGGATAATGGCTACTTTTCAGTATGTAGTTTACCCTTTATAGTTCTGTTGTGAGGACATCAACAGTGACTGTCTTGGATGTGTGCTTGGGATAAGGTATTCCGTGGGTGCTCAGTCAACATTAGGCAATGAAGATGATGTGAGCCCTTGAACAGCCAGTCTTTCAGATCACTGCCCAGTTACTAACCAGAAGAGTGTAATGTGTCATAGGTAAATAGTATCTGTGGCACTTTATCCCCAAGGGGTTGTCCAAATATGATATGTTAGTCACGGTAATACCTCTTACACAATCCCAGGAAGAATCAGGAAATAGGTTATGTCACATCAGTTTTGGCCTGTCAACAGTATGTCCAAAATCGAACCTATACCACCACAAATCTGCTTCTGCTTGGAAACATATTAACAGCCTCCCAGTCACCTGGACTGAGAAGGGCAGAATCATCTTCAACTCTTCCTTCTTTTTCTTACGATCCATTGTTCATTCTAGCACCAAAAACTCTCTAATTCCCAAAATGAGATCTGATCCCTGTGCCTGGATCATGATAGCATTTAAATAAACTGGAATTAATGTACACTCTTGCCTTTTCAGTTCATTCTTTACCTGTCAACCGGTCACACTTGAAAAATGGTCAATGGTATCTCATTACTTGCTAAATAGAGCCAAAAAATCTTCAGCTGTAGACTTAACCCACTTTTCTTTCATTCTATTTCTATAGCCTACCTCTCCCCAAATTCTCATTTTGTCCGCCAATCATACCAGTCTACTCTGTGTTCCCAGAATGTTGCCTGTGTGTTTTCATCTAGTTGTCTTTTGATCACTTTGTTCTCTCCACCTGGAGCACCATTACCACCCATCACTGTACGTCTTACTTTGGCCAGGATACCAACTCCCTGGACAGCAACTGAGGATACTTCTCCAGGATTTAGTTATCTTTTTTGTTTTGTAGTTTCACGATACTTTGTTTTACTTCTATAATGGTTCTAACATTTGCTTTATTTTACAGTTAGGAATGCCTAGAGTCTAGGGAATCAAAACTTTCCTCAGTCTTTCATTCCCACTAGGATTTCAAAGTTCTTAAGAGCCAACACCATAATTTACTCATCATTTCAATTCCTTGCAGAGGACTTTTTTTTTTTTTTTTTTGGTCAGATTAGAAGGAAAGGTGACTCTGGCCAGGTAGCTCAGTGGGATAGAGCATTGGCCTAATGAGCCAGGTTGTGGGTTCAATCCCTGGTCAGGGCACATAGAAGAAACAACCAATGAATGCATAAATAAGTTGAACAACAAATCGATGTCTATTTCTTTCTCTTTCTAAAATCAATAAAAAGTAAAACAATTATAAGTGAAAGTTTATTTAGAAAGTTACAAAGATAGTAGAAGAGCTCTTGGAGCTTAGGAAAAGAGGGAGATACAAAAATATTTGTGAACTTGGTATTACATTTCAAATGGTGAATATTTGCCTTGAGAAGGCCTCATAAATAACACATGAATGCTGACATTAATTGCTAGGAACTCCTGTTTCATTAATTTCATCATTCTAGGATATTGCTTCTTCGTTTCTACCAATTTTATCTTTTACTTCACCTCCTCTAATACATTCCACAATATTTTATAGTTTAGTCATATATATATATATATAATTTAATATTTTTTTGCATGGGAGAGTGTTGGTCCAGTGGCCAACACTTCTAAGATCCAGTGGTAATTTTGAGAGAGAAATGCCACAGTCAAGCTTTTCTTTTTATGTTCATTGATTTTAGAGAGAGGAAGGAAGAGAGAGAGATAGAAATATTGATGGGAGAGGGAAACATCAATTGGTTGCTGCCCATACATGCCCTGACCAGGAGCTAAACCTGCAACCTAGGTTTGTGCCCTAACCGGAAATCGAACCTCAAGCCTTTTGGTGTACAAGACAATACTCCAACCAACTGAGCCATAGTGGTCAGGACAAAGTTTTGCTTTTATAATACCATTCACACTATACTTTTTTAAAAAATCCTAACCCCAGATAATTGAGGAGGACTTATAATTGTATATATTTTAGTGTCAAATGTGGGATCCTACTAGTTGATAGAATTTGCTAAGGAACTACAAAATGGATAGGCCCTAAATAAAGTCATAAAGAGGCAAACACTGCCCTTAGTGCTCCCTTTGCCCTCAAATCTCTAAACACTCACAAATTCCTAGCATCTCTCTCAATCATCCATAGTACCCTATATATTCTGCCTTCTCTTCCAGAGTATATTTCCTCCATTGTGTATTTGAAAAGTAAACCTTTGCATGGGTAGTAATGAATGGTAACATTTACTTTTAACTTGGACTGCCGGGAGACACTATAACAAGGAATTGTGGGTGGTGGCAAGGCAGTGAAAAAAAGGCTATGGAAACTTGAGCTAATTATTTTTAAAAGCTTATGTCCTTGCAGGGCATAATGCAAGCTCAAATGTCACTTACTAATTGCCCAATTGACATCAGTTGACTTCTAAGTCTATTCTAAAGTAGCTTCCCTCAAAATGAATAAGTAAATAAATAAAAAAATAAGGCATCTTCCCTTCATATCAAAGCTTTCTGTTTTCTTCACAACTTATCAGTATGTGATATGATCTTATTTATTGATTTATTTGATGGTTTTCTATCCTCACTAAAATATAAATTCTGTAAGTAGGGATTGGCTTATATTCCATTGTATTCCCAACATGGACACAAAGTAGAAACTCAATAGACATTTGTAAACCAGAAGAATTGAATAAACACTTAGTACCAACATACCTTGATTTATGCATTAGCAAGTCATTTAAAGTGTTTAGGGGGAGAAGATTATATTAACTATCTAAAAATTTATGGTAAACAGTTTTTACAAATGTTAGTATTCCCTAATCACTTTTTAAATTTTTTTAAAAGATTTCATTTATTTATTTTTAGAGAGGGAAGGGAGGGAGAACGAGAGAGAGAGAGAGAGAGAGAGAGAAGCATCAATGTGTGGTTGCTGGGGGTCATGGCCTGCAACCCAGGCATGCACCCTGACTGGGAATTGAACCTGCGACACTTTGGTTCGCAGCCCGGGCTCAATCCACTGAGCTACGCCAGCCAGGGCTTAAATGATTTTTTGACTTCACATGTTTTTCATAGAGTTCTTAAAAAGACTAGCATCCTATGAATTTCATTCAAATTCTAAGCCAGATGTTCTATGTCCCCTATATGTGGAGAACATGACAAACATTCACCAAATATTGAAACTTGGATTAAAACCCGACAGAGTGTAAACCCAATTTAAAGGAAATACCATACTTGAAAAAAAATTTCCACGATATTTAAAAAATTAAATATGCATATTGTGTAACACATCTCACACTTTAATGTAATAACTACAAATGTCATTTAAAGCCAGTTATCTAAGTGTGAGGGTTCTCAAAGACTTCAAGGTATTTCTATACCACAGATGCCCAATATAACAAATTTAATAATTTAATATAATAATTTAAAGTGGTTCTTTAGCACTAAAAGAACTAAATACATTTTGCGTCTACTTGTGCAAGGAAGCACCTAAAATTAGTGATCACCACCACAAACAGTGTTTTTCACTCCCTGGTCACTAGTAAAATGAATAGGCCAGCGACTAGCAGAAAGCCCACGGCGGATCCTGTCCTGAAGGGACTGTATTGCTTGGGAAACCAAAGAGAATTGGTGAGCATTTGATACAGTGTCCAAGACCACATCCTTTAAGTTTTCTTGCCTTCCAAATCTAGTAAGAAGTAGGTGGCAGGAAGAATAAGAGAGGAAGAAAGGGAGAGAAAGACAGGGCGAGAAACCAAGGCCGAGAAAGAGGGAGAAAGACTAGCGAGGATCGCCTTGAGAAAGAATAGCCCACCAAGCCACGCCCCTGTTTCCCAGGTAACGGGGTAAACAGACCTCCACCTCCTTTGGCTCTGAGAGCTCGCTAGGTGTTGAGTGGTTGGCAGGAAGCCGTGGGTAGCGAAGATGTGCTCTTTCGTACGAGTGGAGTCCCCCAAAGGATTGGTGCCCCCGAAGGAATTGAGAACTTCCCTCGAACCAGGAACAGGTTTCCCCTTAGAGATGAGTGCCGTAGGAGGAATGAGGGTATCTGAAAGGAAATCTCCCCTAAGCGTGGAGCTCGGTTTAACCCACGGAGAAAAGGACGATTTAGGAGACAGGAGGGTCTTCATGGGAACAAAATCTCCCACGCAGTTGGGGTTCAGAGTGGGATTAGGAAAAGATTTCCCATCGGGGGAGAGCCGTTTGGTCAGTAATAAATATGAGGAAAGGATGGCATCATCAGAAACAAAATGTCCATTGAACAAGGGGCTTGAAATGAGATTAAAGGGACAGAATGTTTCTGGGACACTCATGGGGAGGAGTAATTTAGGAGTCAACAGGGCCTCAGCCTCACAGGAAACAAAACCTTCTCTGCGTATGTTGCCAAATAGAGTGAGTTTAGAAAATGAGTGTCTTCTGACAGGGCTTTCTGGGAGGATAACACGGCCTCCCTTGGACATAGTATGTGCAAGTCCACAGGCTCTAGGGAGCAGGAAAGATCCTGTGGCTGGCACCCCTCAAGGGTTAGGGGCTTCAGTGGAGAAGCAGCCAGCTTTGGGTGTGGAACCTAGCCAGGAACTGGGAAAAGAGTCCACCTGTGAGGTGATGAAGCCCAGTGCAGAGATGAAGCCTTCCGTGGAGGTGGACACTGGGCTGCCCCAACCAGAGGAGTCAGATGAAATGAATACCGAACCCCAAATGGGCTTGGTGATAGAACCTCCTGAGTGCCAGTTTGCCCAACAACCTGAAGATAAAAAGGAGGCTGAAAACACTGAACCAGAAGTGGAACCTCCAGATCGCATCAGACCTATCTACTCTGGGAAATTTTTTGATCGAATGCCTTGCTGGCCAAGCGTAAGTTTTGTTTTTGTTTTTGTTTTGTTTTTAGTATTTTCCCTGGGAACTATGTATAGTCATATCTTTATAGAGATGATAAGCTGATGAGACTTGTCTGGGAGTGTGGAGTCAAAGATTTTATTGGGATTCTGATATTCCTTGTCCCACTGGACTCAGTCCAGCTGTTACTTTGTCCAATCTCCTCTGATTCTCTGCCTTCCTTCCTGGATGTCAGCTTTGTTTTCTGTGCACACCGGTGGTTCATCTTGATTTCTTCCTGTGACCTTCATTTCATTCCTCAGTCTGCAGTTCTCAATCCTCTCACTGAGATATATGTTGTATCCTAATATTCATGTTTCTTTTTTCATTCACCATTTATTCTGTGAGTTATTCATTATTTCCACAACGATTTGTGGTGGTAACTATGCTGGGTGCAGGGAATATAAAGTGAAAAGCACAAGATCCCTACCCTCTAGGGTTAGGCAGTCATTCCAATATTTGGAGACAGATAACTAAACAAATTTAAATTTCAAAATGAATAGGGAACGAGTGTGATTTTTCCTTAATAGAAGTATACCTCTAAGCACGGAGCACAGTAGAAAGATTGGACAGCTCTGTGTGGAGGAGATGGGAAAGGGTTCACAAAGCAATTACTATTTGAGTTAATTTTGAAAGGCGCCAGTGTTTGTCAAATGGAAAAAAAGGGTTAGAGCATCTTGGGCAAAGAAAGGTGTAGAACATGACCAAAGCTTCTTGTGTTTGGGAGAGATAAGCAATTCTGTTTAGCCAGTATGGTGTTAAGAGCTGAAGATGAAGAAATAGGTAGAGGAAGTCTAAAGGTCCAAAATGGAGGGGGAAATATATGGATACAGAAACAATGGTGGATCTTAATAAGAAAAGAAATAATTTTTTTAAAAAAAGAAAAGAAAGAAAGTTTCCTTGTAGAAAGATATTTCTTCTATCAGTAGTAATGATGGACTGGTTGGAAGGGGGAGATTTTGGGTGACAGGAAAAAATTAGAAATCTATTGCAAAGTAATGTCTGCCTGAAATTAATGTGGAGCTGGAAAAAATAGAGAGGAGTATGCAGGTTTTGAGAGCCTTTTAGGAGATGATATTGTTACCAATTGCAATCAGTTGTGGTTCTATGGGGTGAAAGAGGGAAGTTGATGGATGACGTAGGAGTTTCTAGGCTGATGATGAACTCTTCCATATTGGTGGCAGATAACTATCTGGGGTTGGCTATCCCGAGTTTGAAATATCTACAGGATGACAATAGTTGGTAATGTGAGACAATTGAAGCCATGGGTGGGGATAAGAGCAGAAATCTAGGCAAGAACCTTGGGTAACACATTTATGAGGTGGTCAGAGAAGGCCATGTCAGCTAGGTGAGCTCCTGAGGAAAGGGATTTTATCTTATTTTTATGTAGCTTAATGGCATATGACAATGCTTGACCTATAGTGGTTATTTGGTAAATATTTATTTGATAAATGGAAAGAAGGCTAAATGATTAAATAGGAGAAAGATCAGAGAAGAAAGAGATGAGTCTGAAAGAGTGGTATTGAGGAAAATAAAGGAAGCATAGTTAAGATATTCTGAGAATAAAAGATTCCACACCCTGAGATTTGAGAATACCGTTCAGCTGAAATAATCACAGGGATTCTGCAGAATTTTGTCTGTGTGTATAGACTTTTTTTTCCCTCTTGGGACTCAGGGTGTCTTTGATCCACTTTGCTTTCTGGTCCTCATTTTGGACTTCTCCAGCCACTCTCTTCTCATTTGACCACATCTGCTTCTCCTTTCTGGATTGGTTCTTCGGTCTAGGGCTACAGGCCTGACACACCCAAGCAGATAAGAGTTTCCGGTTTCCAACAGGGGCAATTCTAAAACCTCTGCTTCCTCCTAACTCTCACAACCACCTTCTACACGTGATAGCACAAGGAAGGGAGTCAAGGAGAAAGTGACTAGCAATGTTAAAACATCTCTAACAGGGTAAATAAGATAAAGATTAATTAGCTTTGGACAGTAAGGAAGTTAGCAACATTATTAGAATGGCATAATGGAGGGAGAATTCAGATTTTATGAACATCTTTATGTGCATTTCTTTGTGTCTTGAAATATTTCCTTAGGATAGAGTTTCAGCAGAAGTCAAAAGATGGATCTTTTTCTAGTTCCTGTGGTGAAATCCCTTCCTAAAAGACTGTACCACTAGATTTTAAAAATTGATAATGATGTATTAGGTATTTTTTTAATTCACATTTATTTGATTTATAATGAGATTGAAAATTGCTACAGATGTTTGTTTTATTTTTTTCTTCTTCTTATAGCTGATCATCTTGCTGAACTCTTGTTAGTCTTGTCCATGTAAGAAATGTCCAAACCTCTAGAGTTTGAGTCAAACTCACATATGCTGGGGAAAAATATGCTCTTGACAATAACAGTTTTGCAGCTTCTTTTTTGCATTTGAAATTAAAGCAGAATTACATGGAGCTGAGGAGTGGATTACAGGATAGTTAAGACTGTGTGTTCTCTTGAGGGTTACACCCCCTTGGAGGAGGGATATCACTTCTGGTATTTCTTTTTTTATTTTTAAGATTTTATTTATTTATTTTTAGAGAGGAAAGGAGGGAGAAAGAGAGGAAGAGAAACATTGATGTCTGAGAGCAATATATTGATTGGCTGCTTCTTGCTCACTCCCAACTGGGGACATGGCCTGCAATGCAGGCATGTGCCCTGATGTGGAATCAAACCAGTGACCTTTCTGTTCTCAGGCTGGCACTCAGTCCACTGAGCCACACCAACCAAGGTGGCGTCTAATATTTCAAAGGCATTTTAACCTAGATTTGCTAGAACAATCAACAAGGCTGGCATAAAAGAAGTCATAGGCCTGGGACATCACTACCCACTATGACAGACCCTGTTAGGCTACTTTTGATAGAACCCCAATTTTTTGTTAACCATCATAATTGCTTATTATTATTTCTTTTGGATTTTCTAGGTAAACAATCATATTGATGCTTTTGTCTTTCCTTCTTTAGTACATATACCTCATTTCTGTTTTATATATCATTGCATTGCCTGTGACCAATAATAGGATATTGAAAGTAAAGTTTCTTTCCTGACTTTAATGGAAATGATTCTAATGCTTCCCTACTGAATGTTTTTTTTTTCTGAAGATTTCTGATACCTCAAGTTAAGCACACTTATATCCTCTCTCAGTTTGCTAAGAATGTTTACAAATCAGGAATAGACCTTGAACTATGGAAAGTTCCCTCATTTGTTGAACTACATCTTCTCCAGATTGAAATGATTAATTTCCTAATAGTGAACCATTCTTTCTATTTCTGGGTTAAGCCCAACTTGGTTGGGTTATATTGTTATTATATATTCCTGGATTTGATTTGCCAGTATTTTAGTAGGATTTTTGCATTATGATCCTATGTATGATTGGACCATGGTTTTCCTTTATGTGCTGTTTCTCTCTGAGTTTGGCATTAGGATAATGCTAGTATATACAAAGAACTGGGAAGCCTTCCATCTTTTTAATTTTATTTATACTTGCAACAATTTTTGTATTTTGTGTGTTTACTGCTTATAAGCTTCATAGAACTCATAGCTGAAGGGGGAAGGGCAGGAGATCCTCCAACATCCTGACCAAGGGATGGGATGGTGAAGTATTTGATGGCCCTAAATTCATCCAACCTTACGGGAGGGCATGCATTTGGGTGAGGTCAAAGCCCAGTTTCAAGCATGACTGTGAGGAGGGTTCACATGGAAATTCCCATTGTGAAGAGCCTGCTAAAACCAATCTCTGAGGACAACTGCTTTGCAACAAGGTGCATTCATGGAATTGGGGAGCTCATCCCAATGAGAAGCCTATCCTACGTTGGGAAAAGGGAAGCAGGTACGTCTCATTGTAAGGACACTCTTCCTACAGTTTGAAGTTGCTGCCCAAGTTGGTGTTGAGCTGTAAGAGAAGGTCTGCTCTGATGGATTTATGAGGCCCTGTTGGTCTTGCTAGTCCTTTTAGTAAAACAGTCTGGTATAGCAACATGGATCTGTATTCAGGAAAAGTCTCCAAGAAATAGTGGCCTGAGGGTAGATTTTGGGAGTATCCTTCAAGGACTAAAAAGAGTCTGGTAAAAAATGTTCTTTTTTAGTGAAAGCCTGGTAGCCCTTGAAAGGGCCCTTGGTGGACATCAAAATCTCTATAATGCTCATTTCTCAAGAAATTTTGAGACTGTCCTTTGATCTCCATTAATGTACTGACTCTGGCAGAAACCCTGGGTTATTCCGAAAAAACAACTGAACCTTACAAAGAACATTGGTAAATGGTATTGAGCCTTGAAGTACAAAGACGAAGAAGGAAGAAAAGGTTCAAAGAAAGGTTAATAAATTATAATGTCTACAACAACTAGAGATTAGATTAGGCACTGCGTCTACAAAGATAAAAAATGATATGGTGTCTGCTTTCAAAGAACTTAGAGTCTAGAGAGTCGAGACCAATAAAGCAATGATTTTATAATATGATAAAAGTCATGCAAAGAGATGACTTATTTTTTTTTCCTGTTCTACACTAAGGAAACCTGATAGCTATTTGGAGAATGGGTGGAAGCAAAGGAGTCACCCACTGGCAATTCTTGTGAGAACTTGCTAGTTATGCAAGCCCTGGTACTGGGGGAAAAAAAGGTGCAGAATTTTATTTTGTCTGAATTTGCAAAGAGCCAAACTGCAAAATTCTGAGAAGTGGGTGGTTTCATTTGCCTAATGGGTTCAGGGCCTTCTGGGCAGAAAGAAATTGATGCTATCACACCTAATGTTTTCTCTGAGATATTCAGAATTAGGGGTATCTATGGATAAAACATGGTGGTCTTGGCCAAGGCCCAGTGCAAGGATGAAACCATAATATTAGCCCACACTGAGTTTGGAGAGTAGAAGTTGACGTAACGAGTATGGGTTGGTGGGTTTTCAGCAGCTAAAAATGCTCTTGTATCAGCCTTCCTAAGTTGAATTCAATC